GCGAGCCATCCCTTTCCCATGTCCCATTTGGCCCCCAACAGAATCCAGGGCCTCCCCTCGGAGCCACAGTGCGCAGCGTCTTTGAGTTTGTGCGCTGAAGAAACCTGCTCCCAGGCCAGGGGTTACAGGGACATTATTTGCACTTTTTGCATTGCAATAGCACCTATGGGTGCAACAGCACCATCGTGGACCAGCACCCTGCACAAACCCAGACCACACGCGCAGCCCCTGCCCTGAAGAACTTGCAATCGAAGCAAATATCCGGCAGCTGAGGCAGAGAGACAGAGCTACAAAAAAACTAATAGGAACAGAAAGGGTTGGCGATATATTTCAATGAAAACAAGCTACGTTTGCACAGAAGGGCCCCGGGACCCTTCCTTTTCGGTCGCCTCTGCACAGCCTCCCTGATCCGACTGCACAGGAAATCTGACCAAGGAGAGTTCCCGAGCTGGGAAGGAATCTCGCACTCAACAGCCTTCAGGCTAGAGCAGAAGGCCTGGAAAGTGAAACTGACCAGTCTAGCCTCACCTTCCCCAGCTAAGCGCAAAAGATCAAAGCAGCCATTCAACAACGGACGGAGCTCTTAGGACCAGAGTATTTATCCTCCGCCACGGGCGTGAGCTTTGGGGTGCCCACTGGGGTCAGGTATAAATAATGTTTCTCTGCAGCAGAGGCCTCTCCGAGTCACATCACATTCTGATGGCGCTGTAGGTGTCAGCCTTCTTGCCCCAAACCCGGCTGATCCTCACGCCACCCGGCCTGCTCCGCACAGAGGGGCGAAGACACTTTGCTGCAGCTCTGATTAGCCACCCTGACTGACGGGTCTCCACCACCTCCAGCCTCCCACATGCCTTGAAAGCAGTCCCCTGCCTGCGGCTAGGTCTGCACCTATTGCTGGAGTCGGAGATACCCGTGCCTTCTTATCTGTAGATGCTACTGTAATAGAGAACCCAGCCGAGATCAGAGTCCCGTCGTGCTAAGCACTGATCACACGTTTAGTACAGTCTCTGCCCTCTTGAGCCTCAATAGATCAGACAGAAAAGGTGGGAGGGGAAACTGAGGCACAGAGTGGCAAAATGATTTGCCTAAGGTATCACAGGCAGATCAGTGGCAGCATCAGAACCCAGGTCTCCTGACTCCCAGGCAAATGCGCTATCCACTAGGCCACACAGCCTCTCTAAATCCTTGATTTCCCTTCATCTTATCTAAGAGAAGAGACTCAATGTATTACAGAGCGGGTCCACTTCTGCTCCACGGCGGCCAACAGAACAGAGGCCATCCCAGGCCAACCCGAGCTCCTTACCATTTGGTTCCTCCGCCTCAGCTCCATCTCTTCCACGCGCGTGGTGCCCAACCCCCGACAGCTCCAGCGGATGGCTTGCTCCAGCTTCCGCAGCAAAAGACATTGCGAGATCAGTGCTTGGTAGGGTGACCAGACAGCAAGTGTGAAAAATCGGGACAGAGGGTGGGGGGTAATAGGCACCCATGTAAGAAAAAGCCCCAAATATCGGGACCGTCCCTATAAAATCGGGACATCTGGTCACCCTAGTGCTTGGGGCCACTCCACATACACAGCACAGAGCCCGGGTGCCACAGGGGCTGCATGCTGCTAACCGGGCATGCTCTTCCCTGGCTGTCAACAAGAAGAGAGCCCCGCGGCATGCACAGCAAACCCTCCCACGCGCGAGAACACGGCAACGCAAACCATGCACCGAACCCCTGGCTGGGTGAGAAAAAAAGTCACCGCCCTGTGATCCCCAGCAAAAGGCGAACAGAGTTCTGAGAGCAAAGACAGCAACTCTGCGAGGACCGACATCTGCATGCAAATTTAAGATCCCAGAGGACTTGGCAATTAAATGTTGTGCTTACAAAGAAGACTGCAAAAAAGATCACCTATACATAGCCAGCCTCCCGGGCTGCCAAAGCCTGAAAGGATAAACAGCAGCAATGCTGCTTAGCTGGTGGGGGGGGACCCTTCGGGGCAGCCGTTGTGAAGGCTAGGAAAGGGGTCTGGAATCTGTAGCAAGTGGCACACAGGGCACTTCGCACCAGGGCAACATCACGTCTTGCATGATACAGGCAGGCAGATTCCTGGTCTAATATCATCTGCGTTATCACATGACCCGAGTCAGAAACCCGGCTGGAGTGAACAAGACTCCACCTGTCTGCACTGGGCTGGGGGGGAAGTTACCGAGCTAGTGGCGGAGGACACGCCAGTAACACCAGTTCCCACTGCTGGGCACAGACCCCCCGGGGAGCTGCGTAAGCACAAGAGGACGTGGGACTGGCCGACCACTGAGAAACGTAACTTCTGGGGACTTTATGCCACATTAACAAGCATTAAAAATACCTGTCGCACATTCTAACAAGGGCAGGAAAAACTAGATCATCTATTTGGGGGGGTTCGTTAATTTATTTGCTGCGCAAGATAAAAGTCTCTCCCGTACATGCACACAGACCTCAGGCAGGGAGCTCCCACCCAGGAGCCATCCAACCGCCAATGGGGATTCCTAGTATACAGCAACGGTGACAGGACACGTAAGCCACGGAGCTTTCCCTGGGGAAGTTACACACGAGCCCGTGCTGGGTCGGGGTTTGGGTCCTTCCATGAATGTAAAAACAGGGCCAGGCTGCTTTGATGAGGCAGAGGGAGCTGGGAACCTTAAGGTGTGAGTTACGAGCTACCATGCTCAAGGCTCAGCTGTGTCTCACGAGGGGCACAGGGGCCCAGGAGACGGGGGGCTCTCGCTCCTATCCAGTCAGAGGACGGACCACCTAGGAGCAGCGTCTGTAGGAACTCAGGGCCTGATCCACGCTGAAATCAATGGAAGCCTTTCCACCGAGTTCAGCGGGGTTTGGATTAGGCCCCTCCCAGGGCCAGAGTGGGTGTTAACTTGGCACAAGTCATCCCGTTCTGTAGAACTTTGTGGTTACGGGTTTGGCTCCCGCTCCGTCATGGGGAGGAGAATCCTGCCTTTGCTGGGATGTCGAGTGGGACATTCAGCCAGGAGGCGGCTGGTCCAAGCCCCTCGTCAGTTACTCCAATCAGAGAGGGGGTCGGCAGCGTGGTGAGCCGTGCACCCCAACTGGCCAGGGGGAGTGGGGAGGTCTGGAGTATTTTGAGGCACCCAGGGTCACAGAGGTGCGCTCGCTACCCATCTGCTGTACAGGTTTCATGCCTTTCCAGCCAGCAACAGCCTTCCGCTGCAGGATACCCACGTCAGCATTGGTCACCGGGTCCGTCCCCCTCAGGCGCAAGCTCTCCTCTAGCTGCGGCGGGGAGGCAGGTGGAGAGACAGAAAACAGACAACATGAGCACAGACCCCCGGGAGGAACCAGCCCGGCCCGGTGCCCACAACCGCACACAAAGCAGGGAGGGGAAGCACCAGATCTCCCCCGGAACGGTCCAGCCGAGCTGCAGGGAGAAGGCGCGATGGAGAACCCTAGGAAAGAGGGGGAGGGAAGGAAGAGACAGGTGCAGATGGGGGCCTTAAGAAAAGCTGGGGGAGGACTTTGGCTAATTTGGATGCGCAGCAGAATTTAACCCTCCCCAGCCCAGCCCCTGCAGCCCTGGGTGAGCCCAGCGCAGACAGCTGCCATCTCCAGGAGCCCCTCAGGCCAGATGCAAAGAGCCCATCCACCGGCGTTTAGTCACCCGGGGAATCCAGCTGGATTCGTTGTTAAATGGGCAGTAGACTCATTGGGTGCGTTTTTAGGGTTCGTTTAAGTCAGGTCCCAACAGCTGATTCGACAGAGCCTGCGCCAGCTTCGCCCGTGCGGCTCTGCCAGCGCGGTGCAGTCCTGGGCCCCCCCCATACGGCTCTGGCAAGGTGCTTCAGTCGTCACCTGCAGCCCCCTCTGATATTTCCAGTCCTACACGTTCCCCCACAGCTCAGCCGGTGCCCCGCAACCCTGCTCTGCT